CAGAGGCACAGGGCGTCGAGTCCAGCCCCTGTCCCGACACAGCCCAGCTCGGCTCGGGGGCGGGGTCGTGCGCCCGGCTCCTCTCTTGCCAAACCCGTCTCCGCGCCCCAGAGACTTACAGCCGGGACAAATAAACTCACCCCACCCCGCGTGCGCTGTCACGGGCAGATTTTCTTTATACAGGAGGAGAAACATCATTAGAGCAATGACACTATTGTACAGCTCCCGGGACCGCCGGCGAAAGCCGGGGCTGCGGCCGGGGGGGGACCAAAGGGGGAACCGGCTCCGGTGCAGGGAAGTGGCTTTGTCTTGATTCTCCCCCATGTCACTAGACGGAGGCGAGGGGTGGGGGGCTGGGGTATAAAACAGGGGGACGGCTGGGGGGCAACACAAGGCCGGGGGCGGTTTGCACGGCGGCTGGGGAGTGGGTGGGAAATGCTCCTGACCGGCAGCACAGGGCACGGAGAACTGGGCCCCGGATCCCAGTGCCCCCGGCTCTGCCCTGCCTGACGAACCAGCCCCCGAGACGGCGGCTGGCGCCACCCGAGAGAGGAAACGCTGGTTCCACACCCGTCTGGTGGCCAGGGCCCTGGGGTCGACGCCAGCTGGAGTCCAGCCCAATCCCTGTCTATTTCTCTTGGAAGACGCCGGGTTTGGCCCCTGCCCAGGCTCCGTTCCACAGGCCGGGAACCCGGCGAGGCGGCTTTGGCTACAGCCGGGGCAATTCCCAACGGAGCGTCTGGGCTCCCGCCCCAGCACAGCCACCTGCAGGGGCCGCTCCTTGGAGCCATTCCCGGCGCTTTGCCCTCCAGGGCCCCGAATCCTGAAGCAATCGGCCCACGGGCCTGACCCCCTGACCAGTCACTCCCAGGGCCCCAGCCCGGCTCTGCACTGCTGCCAGGGACCGCGGCCAGGCAGGGGCTGCTTTGGCCAAGAACCTGCTGCCCCCTCCCCCAGAGCCTCGCCCCTGCCCGTTTATTGCATAAAGATGTGCCCCTCGTGTGACGTGGGAGGAGCCCCTCACCCTACGGCTCTTCCCACTGGGCCCCTGTGCCCAGCGGGCTGGAGGTTGGGGGCCAGGCCGCTCACACACGTGCAGACCCAGCACTATGGCTTGTTAATGGGACTGGGGAGGGAGAAGTCGGCACCGGAGCCCAGCCCACAGCAGCCAGGACCCCTGAACTCTCGCCTGGGCCAAGGCAAGGGCTGGTCCTGAGCTCGCGGGGTTTGAAGGGGCAGGGGCTGGGGGGCTGCTGCCTACCCCAGGGACAGGATCTCCTGTGGCCTGAAGGCTCCTGGGGTGGGGACACGTGGAGAGGGGCCAGGGACGGCTCCTCCATGGGGGCTGGGCAAGCCTGGCACGGGCATAGGCACAAACCCGACACATGCAGGGTGGGCTTGGGGGCAGATGGCTGAACAGGCCCTGTGGGGTACAGAGGCCCTGGGCCCAGCAGCTCCACCCTTGGCTGTGCAAACGCTCCAGCCGCCAGCCCCTGCCCATGGCAGCAGCGAGCGCAGCGGGTCCTGGTTGGGCAGCAGGGCCAGCTCCCAGACCTCGGGCCCCTGGCTCCGCAGGAGAAGTGGGGGAATCCGGCCAAGCGCTGCCGTTCTGACCCACACGGCAGAGGTGGGAAGAGCAGGCCCAGGATGCATGGACATGTGTGCACAAGTGCTGGCGTGCAAAGGGATGCACGAGTGGGAGGTGGAACCAGGGGCTTGCTGGGGGCGAGTCTCAGATACCCTTCGGCGGCATCAGGGCCAGGGGCTCTGCGGGCGGCAGGAGAGCCTGCTCCCCCAGGGCACGAGATGCCAAGCGCGGGGCTGCAGCGAGACAGACCAGGCCAGGGAGGCAGGATGCCCTCTCCAAACGCCTGCCCCATCCAGAGTCGCGGGCGCTGCCACGGAGAGGGAGGTGAGGTGGTGGCAGAACGGAGAGCTGCTTGCCAGCAACGGGCCAGAGCACGCTGGTCCCGACCCAGGCTGGGCCTAGGCCGAGGACGACCCAACCTCGAACTCAGTCCCCTTCCCCACGATCCCTGGCTGGCCCAGCCTGGGCCGGGGGCCTGGGGGCCTAGGCTGGGTCTTAAGGGGCCAGCACACCATTATATGGACCCGAAGGCCATCCCCAGCCCTGCCCCCTTCCCTCCCCCACTCACAAGGCATTGGCCAAATCCTGAGCCGGTGTAAACAGGCACCCGCCCCCGCAGCCCGGGGAGGGACCAGAACTGCCCGCCCCTCTCTGGGCCCCACCCCACGCAGGGAGAGGGGGAGGCTCCTGTATGCCCCCCAGGGGATGAAATGAAGTGGGCCAGGCCCTTCCCCACTGCGCAGAGTCTCTGAGTCCGGTGGATTTCCCCTCCCAGCCCCACACGGTGCCGGGTTTGCATATATCATCCCGTGGTGAGGAGCCGGGCCAGCTGACACAGGCTGGGCTCCTCCGGGCACCGAATGCAAACAGAGTGTGTTTCGGGGCTCTCCTCTCCCCGGGCGCAGATTCCTGCAGCGGGCGTGCGGGGGCACCCATGTCCAGGGGCTGTCCGGGACGGGTGCAGACGGAGGGGCTGGCTCGGTGCGTGGCGCGGAGGGAGGCTGCAGACGGTGGGGCGGCGTGGCTCTGCTCTCAGCCCCCGGCACTCTGCCCCGCCCGCCTCACTTCTTCCTGCCGGAGGTGCTGGCCCGCCGGTCGCTCTCCCGCCGCGGGTTGCCCTCGTCGGTGGAGGAAGTGGTGAGCAGCGCCTGGCTCCAGCGGGCGATCTCGGCGTGCTCCTCGGCGGAGGCAGCCAGCGCCTGGAGCCAGTTCTTCATCTCCTCCTGTGGGACAGAGACGCCAGAGCCGCGTGAACCCCCCGCGCAGCCTCTGGGGGGGCAGAGACTCGGGCTGTCTGAACCCACCCTGGCCCCGGCCCCCCAATACACCGGCCGGCTGGGGCTGGGCACGCCCGGCTGGCCCCCCAGCGCGGGAAAGCGGCACAGCTCGACTTGCTGGAGCGGCTCAGGACCAGCCTTCCTGCCCCGACTCCCGGCCGGGAACGCTCGAGGCGTCCCGGCCACAGGGCTCAGCTCCCCGGCCGAGTGGAACTTCACCCAGTCAGGGCCCAGAGAACCGGCGCTGCCCGTCCTCTGACCCACGGCACCCTGCCCCGAGAGGCACCCGCCTGGGCACACCCTGCCCTGACTCCTGGCCGGCCCCTGACTGCGGCTGTGCCCGTTGGCCGGGCCCGTTGGCCAGGCCGGGCTCTGGGCCCCAAGTGCGAGGGGAAGGGGTTCGACTGCTCCGGGTCCTGGAAACGGGACTCAGGAGCCGCGGAAGATGTGAGCGTTGGCAGGGTCGGGTTCCCCTTGTGCCGTCTGACCCCCCCAGCCCCTCTCCCGGCCGGCCCCAAGCAGCGAGACCCTGGCCGTGTCCTACCTCGTCCTTGGCCTGCAGCAGGAACTCGTTCCCGTCACCGGTCCTGGGGGAAGCAGGGGGCGTGTTAGTGTTGTGGGATGGGGGGGGGGACGGACGTGTGAGGGGGGGGACGTACAAGGGAGAATGTGCGAGTGGGGGACGTGTGAGAGGGTGATGTATGAGGGGGGAACATGCAAGGGGGTGATGTGTGATGGGGAAACGTGCCACCGGGGCCTTTCCTGGAGCCCGGCTCTGGACTTCCCCGCACGCAGCCCCTGGGCTTCCACATGGCGTCCTGCTCAGCCGGGGCCCAGCCCTGGGACGACTGGGGGCATCCTCTACCAGGCAGCCCCCCCTGCAGCCCTGCTCCAGCCCCACAACCCCAACTCACCCCCCAGCACAGAGCCCCTGAGCCCCAGGGCAGCACCCGCCCAGACACTCGCTGCCCCCCCAGGGCCTGGTGTCTCTGACCTGGGGGAGGGAGGGGGGCGGGTGCCCGGTGTCTCTGACCTGGGGGGGGGCAGGGAGGTGCTGGTGTCTCTGGGGGTGGGCGGGGAGGGGCCGGTGTCCCTGACCTGGGGGAGGGAGGGGGCAGTGCCTGGTGTCTCAGGGGGGGCGGGTGCCCGGTGTCTTTGGGTGCGGGGGAGTGGGGTGTCTCTGACCCGGGGGCGGGGCGGCTGGACTCACTTGAGCTTGAAGACGTTCTTCTTCTTCTTGTAGTCACTGGCCACCTGGCTGGTGGCCTGGTGCAGGGGGACCAGCGGCTCCCCACCGTGGGTGCTGCCCGACGCCTGCCCCTTGGCATCCTTATAGAAGCCCAGGTCCCCTTTGCTCAGGACACAGTACAGGTTTACCCAGGACCTACCAAAACAGAGTGACCCCAATGGAACAGGGCAGACTGGGATCCCCCGGCCCATCCAGCCATACGGGGCGGGCCTGGGGTCATGGCCCCACAGTACCCCCGGGAGGAGACCCCTGCAGGGGAGCCCGGCTCAGCTGGCCAGGGCAGGATCCCGCCATCCACGTTAGGAGTGTAATGTCAGATCTCACTGACGGGTGACAGGGCCAGAACGAGTGAATCACCCCACCGACTGACCTGAGCCGGGAAATGCAGGCGCGCTGCTCGAGCCTGGAGTCATGTGCTCAGGGCTTGTGACGGGGGCAAACCCGGCGCGTCTATTGCTGGGGCTTGGAGTCAAAGATCAAACCCGGAGTATGAACATGTAGGACACTGGAGGGAACTGGTGTTAGTGTCTCTAGGGCTCTGTGGAGGTTGTGGTGACCTGGAGCTGAACCGTCAATGGGTAAATGACCTGGGATAATTGCCGGGATGGTTGGGAGCCGATCGTTTCCCCAGGCCAAGAGGCTGCTGGAAACGTGCAAACACCCTGGGCCACGATCCTGCTTCATCTCAGCTCTGCTCTGAGTTTCAAGAGGGGGAAACCCGGAGCCACAAGGATTGAGATCCCCAGTCACTGACTGGGGCCACCCTGAGGACGGACATTGGACTGTAACCTCTGGACTGTTTCTAAAGACTTTGGGCAGCTACAAACTCGCCAGCTCTGCTCTGGGTCTGGACCTCAAGAACTGAACTCAAGTCTGTCCATATATTGATCTTCCACCCAACTCTCTCTCTCTTTCCTTTTCTAATGAAGTTTAGTTTAGTTAATAAGAATTGGCTGCAACGCGGATTTTGGGTCAGATCTCAGTTATCATTTGACCTGGGTCTGGGGCTTGGTCCTTTGGGATCGAGGGAACCCCATTTCTGTTACCAGGGCCGCCCGCCGGGGGCGGGGGGAAGGGGGGGGCAAGTGGGGCAAAAACTGAGTCCCAGCCCTGTGCCCACCCCGCTGTGGGGGGGCCACTCAGTGCTGGCCAGGGGAGGGGACCGGCTCCCCTCCCCCGATCTTCCCCCACAGCCCCGGCCCGCTGGGCCCCCGCTCGCGGCCCCGGCCCCTCACCTGTTGGAGGCTTTCTTGTTGGGCCCCTCCAGTTCGTGCTTGCGTAAGAGGAAGCCCTCCAGCTGGACGGTGTAGGTGGGGGGTGGAGGGGGTGGGGCGCTGCTCTGGGCCGGCGCCGAGCGGGACCTGCGGCTCTCCCCCGGGGGCTGGCTGGGGTCCCTGGGCCGCGGCCTCCTCCTGGGCTTGGGCCTGTCGCGGGCCCGGGGCCGGTCCGGGCGCGGCGTCCTCTCGGGAAGCAGGTCGATGCCGTTGGGCAGGCGGGCGGGGGAGTCGCGGGGCTGGGGGGGCAAAGAGCACGTCAGGCCCGTGGATGGGCAGAGCCCCCGCTCCCCGCAGGAGACAGGCTCTGGCCCTGATCCCGGGGCCCAGGAGAGGCCAAGTCCCCTTCACGTTCCTCTGGGGCAGCTCTAGCTTACGTCCTGGCCCCACGGCGCTGAGGACCCCTGGGCCAGGGCGCTGGCCGCTCTCCCGAGACGGGCTGTCGAGGACCCCCGCTTCCTTCTGCAACCGGCCGCGGGGGCTTTCCCCTGCAACGGGCAGGAGCAGGCCTGAAGGGGTTAACCCAGCTCTGCAGACACCGGGCCAGATCCCCAGCTGGCGTAAATGGGCCATCGCTCCTCCACCTCATCCCACCGGACACCGCGGGAGACACTTACCGGGGCCGGCACCTGCGCGGCCGACTCCTTCTCCTGCAGCTGCTCCACGATCTCCGCCAGCGTGGTCTTGCTGCCAGCGAAGAGAGAGAGGGTGAGACGCGCAGCCCTGGAGGGGGCCATGACCGAGCCGGGACGGGGGGAGAGCGCTCAGCATCCCCCCGCACAGATTTCCTGCTGGGGGACGTCTGGGATCTGACACAGGAAAACTCAACGGGGGGGTTTCGTTTGGGTGAAAAGAAAATCAGCCGGAGCTGGTGGGAACGTGGTGGGGAAGCCGTTTTCTACCCATGTCTGGCAGCCAGGGGCCAAGCAGCCTCGGGCGCGGCCGATCTCCCCCTCGGCCCAGGGCCCTGTCGGTCAAAGGCCCCCTAGGGTGTGGGAGCAGCTGGGGGGGGCTTGGTCCGCGCTGCCTGGGGGGCCGTGCAGACAGGTGTCCCACGCTGGGTGTGAGACTCCCCCTCCTCGCACATCCCTGCACTGCGCTCATCTCCCTCCTCCTGCTTCAGATTGAAACTGCAAAAGAACAGGAGTACTTGTGGCACCTTAGAGACTAACAAATTTATTAGAGCATAAGCTTTCGTGGGCTACAGCCCACATCTATATGCATCCGAAGAAGTGGGCTGTGGCCCACGAAAGCTTATGCTCTAATAAATGTGTTAGTCTCTAAGGTGCCACAAGTACTCCTGTTCTTTTTGCGGATACAGACTAACACAGCTGCTACTCTGAAGATTGAAACTGGTTTCACTCCGGCTCCGAAAGAGGTGCCGGGGTTTGGAGGTTTGGGTGCAGACGGGGCGAGCTGGGGGAGCCGGAGTTTGATCCCTGCCCACCAGACACAGAGGAAGCGGCAGGAGGAGTTTGCTGATTGGCAGCTGTCCCTCGGGTGGACGAGGCAGCCCGCCAGCCCGACACAGATCACACCACTGGGCAGAAAAGGCGGGAGCCCTCGTGGTCTTCTCAGGTCCCAGGGCGCCAGGCCTGGCTCAGCCAGACCCCACTCCTAGGCAGGAGAAGCAGGCATAAGGCAGGACTAGGGGGCGCTGGCCTCGATTAGCCAAGGGACGCTGGCAAATCCTGGGCCACGTTTCCCATCTGAGGAGAAGTTACGAGAACAGCCCAGGAGGGCCGCAGGGCAGTAGAACAAAGACCAGGATCAAAATGTGAGACCAAATTGGCTATTGCCAGGAATGTGGACTCAACCCTTTATCCCTGGTCTGTTCACGTCGGATGAATTCAATTCCAGGCAATTGAATTCCTTTATTTTTACATCCATTTGCTGCATCGTTTGGTGGATTTGACGAATTATTTACGTCACTCATTGACTTGTTTCAGACAGGCATGATTTCAGTTTGCTGTGAACGCAGCGCGCACAAGCCCCCAGTCCGTGTTTGCAGCGTCACTACGGCAAGGCGAGATGCCAAAGAGACGCAGGATTGTAGTGAGAAACCAGTTTGCTTTTGGGTTCGGTTTCTCTAAAGCCAGGTTCTGTTTGAATCTCTCCGGTTCTAACCTGGGCTTAACACGGCCTCGGGGATCCCCAGCCATCCAGGTCTTCGTTCCCACCCGCGAAGAAAGAAACAGCCCCGGTTCGCGCTCTCCGTGCCCTGGGACATCGACGGGTTTCACGGGCACATTTCAAAACACACTGTGCAGGGCTGGCTGGACTGAACCCCTGGACTGCGGGGTGTCGCCCCGGCCCAGGTAAACAGAGCTAACACCCCCCTAGGATGCCGGGGGCCCAGAGACACCAGTGGAGGCCTCCCGGGTGTGGAGCGTGGCACTCACCCGCCCCCTTTGGGCTCGTGCCGGGGCGTCTCCTGCTCGCTGGACTCCTGCCGCTCCAGGCGCCGCTCGTGCCGCTCCCGGCGCCTCTCCGCCTGCTCGTGCCGGGGCGTCTCCTGCTCGCTGGACTCCTGCCGCTCCAGGCGCCGCTCGTGCCGCTCCCGGCGCCTCTCCGCCAGCTCGTGCCGGGGCGTCTCCTGCTCGCTGGACCCCTGCCGCTCCAGGCGCCGCTCGTGCCGCTCCCGGCGCCTCTCCGCCTGCTCGTGGCGCAGCGTCTCCTGCTCGCTGGGCTCCGGACGCTGCTCCCGCGGCTGCTCCGGCTGCGTCTCAGCACGGCTGACCTGGGCCGGCTCCGCCAGCACCGTGCCTGCCACGGGCACTTGCAGGTGCTGGCTCGGCTTGGCCTCCAGCCTCTCCTCAGCCGCCGCCTTCGCCTCCCTCAGCCTCTCGGCGCCGACAGCCAGGCCCTCCTGCACGCGGTCGAGCCGGGGCTGCAGCCGCTCCGGCTTCATCTCCTGCCGCACGTAGGCCACCCTGAGCTCCAGCGCCTCCGCGGGCTCCCCGGGGCCCCCGCTGGGGAGGGCCGGAGCCTGGGGCCGGCCCCGCAGCAGGTCCTGCCGCTCCAGCTTTGCCTCGGCCTGGCGCAGCAGCGAGGGGCCCTTGAGGCCCGGCTCGCTGGGCTCCCCCAAGAATTTGCGTCCCAGGAGTGGTGTGGCTGGCTGCTTGCTCTGCTCGGCCTTCAGCTTCTCTAGCTGCAGGGAAAACGGGTTCTGGTTAAAGTGCAGGGCTGGGAGCCAGGACTCCTGGGTTCTCTCCCCGGCTCTGGGAGGGGAGTGGGGGCTGGTGGTTAGAGCAGGGGGGGCTGGGAGCCAGGACTCCTGGGTTCTATCTCCAGACAGCGAGATGGTAAAATTCTCTGCCCCATATGGGGTGGATTGGGGCGTGGCTGGGGGCGGATTGGAGAGTGGCCAGGGACCCCGATGCTGTGGCTGTTCCCTGCCCCCCAGGGCCCATGGGGGTGGATCAGGGGCGTGGCCAGGCCCCATGGGGCGGATCGGGGGCGTGGCCGTGGTGGATCCAGCGCCC